AGTAGACATTTAATGAATATTTGCTTAACAAATGACCAAGTAGGTCACGCGAAGCATACTCACACATCAGTATTTTTCACTATCAGCCAGGCACACTTGTAATCCCAACACTTGGGAAGCTGAGGCAGGAGGATTGCCCTGAATTTGAGACCAATGTGAGCTACATTGTTCAAGGCCAGCCTGAACTACATAGTAAGACCCTGTATTTTCTCACTGCCCAAGGACTAGCAGTATAGATCACCTCACCAATTCATTTTTCCTACATCATTGTGTTCGAGCTCAGAACTTGAGCCTTTTTACTTTGTTTTCCCTCTGCAGTAAGAAAGGGCCTGCTCTATTGTCAAACATGTCACTAGGGCTTTTTATTAAGGCTCTTGTTGGCTGGGGAATGAGGACTATAGTTTCCACTTGGAGATAATGGAAACCTGAAGAAACCCAACTCTCTTTTCTCCTTATGCCTGGTATTCTGGAAATAAAAGAGCATTTAAATGTTAACTGTTCAATAACCATGTGGATCCCAGGCAAAGTTCATCAGAAGTAAATGTAAAAGTAAGGATGGGTCCAGGGCTCTTGGGTACTCAAAGGGGGCAGAGGTACACTGTCCCAAGGAGACTGTACAGTAAATATTGTTTGATGTAAATTAGTTGGTGTGTTTCAGGAAAAACAGCAGAAATGTTATCTTTTCTCCCCTGGTCCAATTTTCAGCCAGTTGGCTTTCTCATGCTAGTTCTGATAGGCATTAAAAAGAAAGTCAAGGAAGAACTTCCAGAACATGTCTTGAAAAGACTGTGGATGAAAAATAGGATGGGATGAAGATGAAATTTATTTAGAAGGATTATTTGAAGCACTCGTTTGCAGTCCAAGATAGACCATAATGCTAGCAACTTAAGGTATAGAGATTTTGTCCAAATTTATTGCCCTATTATCATCCCGTCATTTTGCCTGTAGTTCCTCAATCCTGATAGAAGGTTGTAAATGGAATTGAAAGTCTGCAGTTAAATTCATAAAGTAGCAATTGTTCACCTTTTGAAAAGACTCAGAAAGAGGAAGATTTAAGAGAAGCAATGCTTTCTAGAGCATCTGGCTTACTGCCCAGGAAGAGCAGCTGTGCCCAGAAACTGTTGGAGGCAGCAAGCTGACTTAGAGATGAATGACCCCACCACAGGGTACCTGCCTGTCTCCTATCTTTGAATGGTCTGACCTTCCAGTGAGCTTGCCTGGGGATATGCTTCCCAGCTGGTGGCCTGACTATTTTTCCTTGTGACCACCAGGGGATCAAGTATTTGCTGGGCTAGAAGAGCAAGCCCGCCAGGCGATGATGAAAACTGATTTTCCTGGAGACCTTGGCAGTCAGCGACAAGCTATCCAACAACTAAGAGATCAGGACTCCAGTAGCAGTGAGTTCTGCACCTTCTGGTAATGACTCAGGGCAATGGGAGAAGAATTATCAGAGTGTGTGTGCTCTGGGATTGTGCATGAGGGTTGGGAGGAAGATATAAAAAAGCAAGTATGTAGATTTTGAGTGCCCCCACCAGTGTTCTAAGGTGTGAACATATGCTTATTCAGAGAGAGAGGACAGGTCTGGCATTATGTGTTCCTCAACTCATGGACTACAGTACTCAGCACAGTGCCGTATGCAGATAAGTTTGTGATGGTTGTGATAGAGACACAGGATAATTAATGCTCATGTAGTCCCTGGATTAGGTCAAATGAAAAAAAAAAAAAAACCCTCTCTCCCAGGATATATTTATTCACAATTAATAAAAGAAGGGTGGCATTGATGATTTTTTGCTGCAGGGCATAGTTTTAATGTTATACAAGGTTTGCTTAGTGATGAGATTATGCAGTATATAAAATGGTACACTCTGAATCTTCCTACACTATAGCCCTCAAAGTAGTTCTCAGGTTAGGATAGAAAAGACTCGTTCTTCCAAGTTGGCCCTCATGGATTGTTCCATGACCTGCATGAACAGGTACATTTTGAAATGGGTTATTTCATAGGAAGATTTCCACACATTCTTGGTCTCACCCATCCGTTTGATAATGATTATTATTGGTATCAGTTCAGAGTGACATTTCTGACTTTTCTTCAGTGTGAGCCTGGGGGAGAACAAAAAGGGTTCTACAGCTTTCTAGGAACCACAGTTTTCCCCAAACAAATAATTAAGCAACAACAGTCAGTAAAAAAAATTTAATAACTAATCATTAAGTACAGAAAAGTGAGCCTCAAATTTCTAGAAAACCTATGGAACTCACCACTTCCTTGAGTAACACAGGTAAGAATAGCAGCATCTTCTACAGAAATTTAGTATGTTTCCATTCTGGAAAAGATGTATCATCCCTCTAGATAGTACACCTTACTTTTTTTTTTTTTCTCTTTCTAGAGATGTATTTGGATAGTTGATACATTACAAAATTATGTTTAATACAACAGTGTCTTATATTAAGCTTACAAGTATTCCAAATAGGAAGCTGGTAAAAAAAAAAATATGGTATGATTTAATCTGTGCCAATCCTTGAGCTGGATACAAATGAATGAAAGGAAGCTTCAGGCTGGGATTATGGCACACATACCATAGATCTTCCTAGGACCCCAATCCAGTCCTGCAGCCTACTGGTGGTATATAGACATAAATAACTATGATGAGTGGTGAGACTTTCTCATGGAGAACGAGAATATAACCAGTTTTGTCCAGACACTGGTGGATTTGAAATTATGCAAAGGATAGTAGAGAGAAGACAGACAGCACTATTAGTGAGAAAATCTGAATCTCACTGCAGATGCAAAGAGCCTGAAGACTCTACCGTGTATGTCTCTCTACTTACGTCAGGTCCAGGTGTCCAGGATCTGGGTGAAGTGGGGATAGGACTGGATTCTGACAGCTTCCATAGGTTAGCCTTCCTCTTGTGATTGTCAGGGTGCTAGTTTTTTTCCTTTTAGAAAGAACTCCATTTGCTGTTATGTGGTGAGTTTTTTTTAAGTCTTTTTTTTTTTTTTTTTAACTATTTTATAAGTAATAAAGAAAACACATCAGGTCATGCAAACCAGCTACATCCTGCCCCCCCCAACTAAAACTCAGTTACATTTAAGTCACAAGAAATAGTGTTTAATTCTAAAGTGAAGAAAAACTCATTCCTTCTATTTAGTGCATTTAGTTATCCATCACATAATACAAAGAACCAATAGAAACAACAGATATATTGAGCTGGATGTGGTGGTGCTACATACCTATAATCCCAGGACTCTCAAAGCTGAGGCAGGAAGATCACTGAGACTTCAAGGCCATCCTGAGCTACATAGTGAGTTCAAGGCCAGCCTGAACTACACAGAGAGACCTTACCTTACTGAAAAAGGGGTGCGGGTATATTGAGCTTTGAATGCTGCATCACTAGTAGAGTAAGAACAGAGAGAGTTGGATACCATGACAAGTGCCTGAGGTTGATTACTGTGCTAATTTTTCTACTATAATGAACAGACTTTATAGAGTGACATCATTTTCAACTAATTTATTACTGCCTCCTTATTGATGAGGGGAGAAAAGCTTGCTGGTGTTTCCTTGGGGCTTGTTGGGAGAGAACATATTAGTGGAGCTCAGGATAGAATAGTCTGTGACACCATAGAGAAATTATACAGATTTTGAAGAAAAGTAAGTAAAATACCAGCAAGAAATGGTGGTAAGTCAGAAGTTGTATGCTGTGGGAAAAAACCTGTAATGAGGTGCTTGGAGAGGTGTGATTTGAAGTGTGAGATAGTTGAGAACAAATCATTCATAAGGATTTTTTTGTGTGTGATAGTGTAGAGGACCCAGTAATGGTTTTCCAATGTAGTTCTGTGTCCAGTTTTTTCACTTGTGTGTATATGGCATAACAGTGATAGCTGCTTTCCACTTAATATGACTTGTGCCCAATTAGACACTAATTCAAACTATATTATGGAAGATCTGAAAGTGTTTTTCATTATAGCTGCAAACTGCAAGGTGGACAGCAGCTCAGTATGTATTCCTGCAAAAACCAGAACAAGTGACCAGTTTGTATGTTCCAGGTGACAGTGAGGGTGATGAAGAGGAGACCACACAAGATGAAGTCTCTTCCCACACATCAGAGGAAGATGGCGGGGTGGTCAAAGTGGAAAAAGACTTAGAGAATGCAGAGCAGCCTGTTGGTGGGAACAAACTAGTAGAGCATGAGGCAAGTGGAAAATGGCTTTTTAAAATAAAATTCCTTTTTTTTTTTTTTTTGAGACAGAGTCTCACTATGTAGTTCAGGCTGGCCTTGAACTTACTATGTAGCCTAGGCTGACTTCAAGCTCATGGTGCTCCTCCTGCCTTGGCTTCCAAGTGCCAGGATTACAGGAAATGCCACCATGCCCAGCATGAATGGTTCTTGAGTCCTGGAATGCCCTGCCCTTCTAATCAGCCCTGATGCTTCTCAGCTGTATGTCACAGTCTTGACCAAGCCTCCTGCTTCACAGCACCAGAACCTACCCCTCAGACACAGCTTTCATCATACTGGCTTTCGTTTTCTACTCCTACAGCACTGTACCTATTTACAGTTCTGTTTCCTAAAACTCCCCATTTCTTTCCAGGTGGAACAGCCACTTTTACAAACTAAAAGCTTACTTTTTAAGGTGTACTAGAACATGTTTGCAAATTTGTCAGAAGGTTACCTGAGGTATCACCTTCTCACTAAATTGTTTCCTGAGGACTCCTACAAGGAGCATGACAGGAGAGATGCTAATCCTTTACTGCAGTGTTTCTTAGGTAAAATAGCAACTCTCTCCGGGGCAATCCTGTGTCCTCATGGTGGAAAGCCTTGGAGAAAATGAAGATGTAAGCGAGTATAATTCCCTTTCAGACATTACTTTTTCCTTCAGCCCACAATAGAAACCTAAGAATAACACGTGACATCAGAATGTGCTCCTTTTAACCCTGTTAAAGAGGTGGGAGCAGGGAAGAGACTAGTAAGGTCGCTCCATGAATTGCCTGTTTATTAAATTGCAGGTCACAGAGAATCTGAATTCTGACCCTTTGCTTGAACTCTGCCAGTGTCCCCTCTGTCAGCTAGACTGTGGGAGTCGGGAGCAGCTGATTGCTCACGTATACCAGGTACGGCATGGGGAGCCATGAGCTCTGGAACCCAAGTGTCCGTGGCTTATTTATAGCCCAGAGCCTGTATTGGCCTTTGCCTCTGGCTGCTGAAGCATCTTGGGTTTTTGTTTCCATAAGACTCCTCTCCAATTCTCAAAACTTCTTAGAGAGTAAGTGGGGCTGGGGATGTGGCTCAGTGGTAGACCTCTTTTCTGGCATGCACAAGGCCCTGGGTTCAATCCCCAGCACTAACAAAAAAAAAAAAAAAGAGTAAGTGGGATTTGTTGGAAAAATAGGTTCTGAGTTCCCAGGCAGACACAGTATAAAAATTAAGTGTCATTATTTTTTCTAAATTATTTAACGCATATATTTTAATACTAATGAAACAGAAACTAACATATTAATAATGATGGCTTTTGTCTTTTTGGTCTTTTTGAGACAAGGTCTCGATATGCTGCTCAGGCTGCCGTTGAGCTCATTTTGTAGCCCAGGCTGGTCTCAAACTCGGAACAATCCTCCTACCTCAACCTCCTGAGTGCTGGGATTACAGGCGTGCGCCACCACACCTGGCTATAATGATGGCCTTTAAAGAAAAAAATTTAACTGACATATTCTGAAATACGAGTGAAGTATAAACAACGGAATCAGAATAAGAGTCTTTTGTCTTCTGTTTACCCTGATCTAATTGCAAGGCACCTGTGCCTTGTGATCCATATTGACAAGGCATCAATATGCAGAGCCCAGAGTAGCCTGGGTTATATCAGTTAGTTTGCCAGAAGTATTTCTTTAGAAGACTGTCTTCCAAAAGAATGAGGGAAGACATATCAGTATTCACAACCTTGGGCTGGGGATTTAGCTCAGCAGTACAGGGTACAGCATCTGCCTGGCAAGTGCAAGGTCGTGAGTTTGATTCCTGATACCAGAGAAAAACCAAAAAAAAAAAAGTATTCACAGCCAGCTCTGAGATTTGGCCTTCATCACTTTCTCGTGTTGTTTTTGTTTTGTTTTTGAGATAAGGTCTTGCTATGTAGCCCAGGCTGGCCTTGAACTCACTATGTAACCCAGGTTGGCCTTGAACTCGTGGTGATCCTCCTGCCTCCTGCGGCCCAAGTGCTGGGATTATAGGTGTGCACCACAGTGGTTCATCACTCTTAAAAGGCTCTTGCTTACCTGCATAGTGGGAGCCAGAGAAATAGAAGTAAATGATTCTGAACACAAATTCCTCTCAAGCTCTGAAGAGAGCTCTGGAGCCGCACTGTTTTTCAGACCAGGTATTTGACTTAAAATTTGGTCAGACTTGAAGGTAATGAAATTAGAACAATGATTTGAATGACCAGGTCCATCTAAAGGGCCACTAACACAAGGCATGACTTTCAAGAGCTACACAGACAGAGCAGTTGCAAATCCCTGGTTCTGAAACTATGGGAAGAGGACATTTCTCAGAATGTAGTTCAGTGAGTACAGAGTGTCCTGGAGTAGTGCAAATTAACATGTTAAGGCTCTGTCTTACAGCATACTGCCGCAGTGGTGAGCGCCAAAAGCTACATGTGTCCTGTCTGTGGCCGGGCCCTTAGCTCGCCAGGGTCATTGGGTCGTCACCTCCTAATCCACTCGGAGGACCAGCGGTCCAACTGTGCTGTGTGTGGAGCCCGTTTCACCAGCCATGCCACTTTTAACAGGTTAGCCGGGCACCTAACCCTATTGTGCTAGGGAGCAAATCACTGGGTATGGGTTCTGCTTTCCCAAGGCAAAGCAAAGGCAAGGGATAGAGTGACACATGACTATTTAGAAATACAAGTAATGAGGTTAGGAAATACCACTTAGATGTCCCCAAAGGGAAGTGAATTCCCATTTCTTTCTTCATCTGAATATATTCAACTAGAAAGAGACATAAAGAAGTGCAAGAGTGTTTACAATAAAGCATGAGGAAAGAAGTTGCAAAGCATTTAGAGGAACCAGGTATGAGGACATAGTCTCCACTGTGTCTCGTAAGAGTGGAACTCTGTGAACACCGTCCTTATCCTGTTTGCTTGGAATGCAATGCAAAGGCTGCCTTTCATGGGAGAGGTGAGGCAGTGGAAGCCCCCACCTCCAGGTCCCTTCATTTGCACATCAGGCCTGGCCCTATACTGTCACACAACTTCATATTATCCAGGTTGATTTCTGGTCTGGCAGGTGGCTCAGTCTTTTATTCCAGGTAGGCTCTGAGACTTGGTAGATACCCTTAGCCCAAAGAGAAGAGATTTCTCAAGCACTGAAACGGACCTCTAGAGCCTGGGATATAGCTCAGCAGCACAGCACTTGCCTGGCAAGTGTGAAGTCATGAGTTTGATCCCCAGTACCAAAAAAAAAAACAAAAAAAAAAAACTAAAGTGGACCTCTAGCTAGGTGTGGTGGTATGTGCCTGTAATCCCAGCACTTGGGAGGCTGAGGCAGGAAGATTGCAGTGAGTTCAAGGCCAGCCTGGGCTCCATAGTGGGTTCAAGGCCAGCCTGAACTATATAACAAGACCCTAATCTCCAAAAGCAGGGAGGGGCTCTAGTAGTTGAATTTGGCCTGGGAGAAAAGAGTAAATTAGGGCTGAATATGTGAGCTTTGGTACAAGGAAACACTAACCATATAAAATGTTGCTTTCTAGTGAGAAACTTCCTGAAGTACTTAATATGGAATCCCTACCCCCAGTTCACAGTGAGGGCCCCTCCAGTGCTGAGGGGAAGGACACTGCTTTCAGTCCTCCAGTGTACCCTGCTGGAATTCTGCTTGTGTGCAACAACTGTGCTGCCTACCGGAAGCTGCTGGAAGCCCAGACCCCTAGTGTACGCAAGTGGGCCCTGCGTCGACAGAATGAGCCTTTGGAAGTACGACTGCAACGGCTAGAACGAGAGCGTACAGCCAAGAAGAGTCGGCGGGATAATGAGACCCCTGAGGAGCGGGAGGTCAGACGCATGAGGGACCGTGAAGCCAAGCGCCTGCAGCGCATGCAGGAAACAGATGAGCAGAGGGCACGCCGCCTACAGCGAGACCGGGAGGCCATGAGGCTGAAGCGGGCCAATGAAACCCCAGAGAAGCGGCAGGCCCGGCTCATCCGTGAGCGAGAAGCCAAACGGCTCAAGAGGAGGCTGGAAAAAATGGACATCATGTTGCGAGCGCAGTTTGGCCAGGACCCTTCTGCCATGGCAGCCTTAGCAGCTGAAATGAACTTCTTCCAGCTGCCTGTGAGTGGGGTGGAGTTGGACAGCCAGCTTCTGGGCAAGATGGCCTTTGAAGAGCAAAACAGCAGCTCTCTGCACTGAAGCGCTCTCCTGTCTGCCCTCCCCCAAAACCAGGCCCACAGGGCTCAGTGCTGCAGGCACCTACAAGGCCATCCTTGCTGCCAGAGGCAGATCTGGGTTTGTTGCAGGTGGACCTGTGCACCCCCTTGCATGTGGGAGCAGGATGATGGGGTCAGGAGGTATCCAGCTCAAGGCACCCTAGACAAGGGAGCAGGTACTCCAGAGAACCGGACTTCCCAGCCACTGCAGCAGGCTGGGCTTGTGGGCCTATAGGGCCCCAGTACAGCCCATGAAATTGTGAGGGCAAATAAATTAATTTTATCTTTATGTGCCCTTTCCTGCTTTTTGTCTGTTTATTCTAGCCAATGGAGTGAGCTAGTAGAGAGCTGGGTGGGAGTTTTCAAGCTCATAGCTTGCTCTTTTATAAGGAAGTGTGATCTTCAGCTTAGGCTATCCAAGCTCATATCTGTTACAAGTTGAAGAAGAATAACTATGGCACTGAAGAAAGAACTGACCCTGATTGAGAATTCATTCCCACATCCGTAATAATTGATATCTACAGTTTTACAAGCTGTGTAAACTTAGCTTACCTTTTCCAAACTTAGGAAGTATTAGAAGCCTCTTCTCACAACTGGTGTTTTCTAAAACTACGTATACTTCAAACTAGGTGCAAGCTACTTTTCCAAGCAAAATACGTTTTGTCAGGCACTTAAAATTCTATACCAGAGAGCAGCAAGCTGTATCTAGGAATATGTTCGTGGAATTGGCTGCAGTACTCCACACACCACTGAAGTCATGTTTGAGAGAAGAGCTAATTCATCTTTTTATTTATTCTCCAGAGCCAAGGTAGAATGATAAAACCATTGAGGAAAACTCAGAATCAAGGGAATAAGAACTCAAGTCAACAGTAGCAAAGACTAGACCAGAATGACTATGGCAAATGGAGAAGACAAATGCTGAGATCATTTCTAAAGTTTCTGTGATGGTACAGAACAAGTAGAGAACTTTCCTTAGCCTGCACCAAAGGTTGTGTACAGTTTAGATAATTATAGATCTTGAGGTCCAGAAGGAAGTGCCCTAGTTAAATTGTAGCCAGAAAAATAACTGCCAGGAATGTGGACCTCTTCCAATACCGTAACAGGGAGACTCGGCCTCCTCTCTGACCTCCACAGGCCCAAGGCTGTCTAACAGTGTCATGTGATGCCCACCAAAGTAGGGTGAGTTCCTACCAGGCAGGTTGAAATGTTTCAAAAATTACATTTAAAAGAAAGTACTTAATTGATCCAAATGGCTTTCTCTCACAGAGCTCAATATTGAAGTCCTATTTGGGATGTTTCAAAGTGGTTGTGCCAGGGATTACTGTGACCACTTTACATGGCTTATCTCATTTAGTCTCCACAATACCAAGTAAATACAGATTTACAAACTAGATGCCTAGGTTCAGAACTGCCCTGCTGGGCTGGGGATGTAGCTCAGTAGTAGAACCCTTGCCTACAACAGCAAGCATAAGTCCCTGGGTTTAATTACCAACACCAAAAAACAAAAACCTATCCTGCCATTCATTAGCTGTGTAATGTTGGGCAAGTTACTTAACTTGTATGTCTTGCTTTCCCCATCCACAAATGGAAATAATTAGCAAAGAGTGACTGTTAACATGTTCACACCAGGGCTATAAACACTATGTCTTACTGCTGACCTTCTCTGAATTATCAGGGGGTATAAGCCCCCCAATGGGACAGTCATGCAAGTACCAACAGTGGCTCAAGCAGGCAGAAACACACACACATACATATAGTTTGTGGCACATAGTGTTTCTGTGTCTAACTAGAGTACTGTGCTTTGGAGTATTTACTTAACTGGTGGCAAGCTTCCTAATTTAGGAGTAGTAACTATGATTGGGGGCTGGGGCTATAACTCAGTGGCATAAGTGCCTGCCTCATAAGCACAAGGTCCTGAGTTCAATTCCCGGTACCAAAAAAAAAAAAAAAAAACTACGATTGGGTCTGACTTAAGCAACGTTGGACAATATTCCTGAGCAAAGAAAAGAACTGGCAGAAAAGGCCAGCAGTCAGGACATTTACAGGTCCTTGTGGTTGATTTTGTACGTAAACTTTATCAATAGCAGACCACACTTTAGATATCTCCCACCATCTGCCCTGAGCTCACTGCATTAAGGGTACCATTTGCATTTCATTTCAAGTGCTCCCACAAAACATTTTTACCCCACCCCACCCCACCCCACCCCACGCAATGGCCACCACCTGAGGCTGGTACGAAGGAGGCGCAAACACCAAAAGGAAAAGCTAGTAGTTTATATAGATAGATATATAGATATATAGATATTGATATATATTGTGTTTACATAGTCCACAAGTTAAATGCAGGTATCCATAAGAAGAGCATTAACAATAAAAATACAATCTGTGTGTAGCCAAGTACAGAGACTTAAAATGGTAAAACAGCAAAAAGGATCTCACAAAAGTACAAATATACAGTACAAATTGATTTATTTAAAACAGTTACAAAAAAGCACAACAAAATAGAGATTATCCTTAGAATTATTAATGCTTTGTTAAAGATCAGGTAGGATTAGAGGGTAAGAAATGGTATTGGGTGGGGGGAGCACCTGACTAGTTCTAAGGCTTTAGATACAATGCAGTTGATTACATATTAATTCAGCCATTACATACTGGGGATAGTAGTTGGGGGATCAGTAATTTATCTACAGGGAACTCCTACACAAATCAGATCCAACCAGACCTCCCCAGTGCCATCCTTCTCTAATCCTTAGGACCCTAAAGCCACCTGGATGACAAAATTCCCATCCTTTCTCCACCCCATTCCCTATCCATATATTCTTCCCTCCCCTAAGGTGCTGTGCAAGCTGAGAGCAGTTTGCTCTCTGCAGCTGGAACTTACACTGTTCGGGCTACAGGGATCCTGTGTGACTAGTTTGTAGGGGACAGTCTTATTTTAATACTTCAAATTAGCCATGAGTACAGTCTCTTCCCCAACACAATCCAGATTCTCTTCAATGCATGTATGAAGCAAGTATGAGGGATCAACCACGCCTTCAGCAAGACCAGCAGCTCACTAACCCTCACAATTCACCACTATGTGCAAGCTCCTTATCCAGGGGTGGATGTAAAACCACTGTCATCAGCGCTCTTGCTCGCTCGCTCTCTGAAGAACCTAAGTCCCCATGACAGTCATAAAGACAGAATAGATGCTTGCAAGTTTGACAATGGGTAAAGGCACATGGGTTGCAACCACACACACTGCAGACAGGAACCCAAGATGGGGCCATCTTCACTGCTGGGCATTTGCAGTGGAATGGCTTTGGGATCACACACTTTGAGTTTGCAATCTACTAGGGGAAGATCTAGGCTTAACAGGAGAACTAATAAACTTTTAGTGTGAAAAGTGCATTTATTACTACTGTTCCTGCTGGGGAGGCTCAGCAGGGCAAACCACACTACCTCTGCTCCTTCTGCCCCAGGCACTGTGCATAGTCTGCAAGTAAGGAGAGAGTGCAGCCGACTCTAGCATCAAGGGCCAGTGTCATCTGAGGCCCAGACCAGGCTTCTGGTCCAACAGTGGATCCTAGAGTTGAAAGAGCAACTGACAACTGCAAAGACACAGAGGCTTATTTTATTATTGCATAATGTGGGAGACCTTTCCTACCCTAGGGAAGCTGGAGGGTGGGTGAAGGTTTCACAGCAAAGGGCTAATAGGTTCCTGATCAACATCCAATCTAGCAGGGTTCATCTCTTCGACTGTAGTGTACGCTTTTTCCCATCTGGAAAATACTGTAGCTTCAGTGTGGTTTAATAAACTTAGCCCAAGGAAGTCAAGACATCTCCCAAAAATTTGGCCTCTGTTCTATTTACTTTGCTTCTAAGACTATGGCCTAATCTCCCATGGCCAATTCAGTTAATCCGGTTATCTTTACTCCAATGGACCTGGGCCCTTTCCCAGTCATCCCATGTCCACTTTTAGCTCCAGTGTGATCAGTCAACTCTACCATATGCCTGCTTCTGCAGGTTTAAATATTACCATCCTGTGCTTCCCCTAAATCACCTATGATGCCCATTGGAAAAAATAAAACTAAACCCTACTGGAGGGGCTACGTCAGCCAAACTTCAAACCCTCTCCCAACCCTACAATCCATGTAAATAGAGCTACATGAATCTTGCTGGGATGCTGGCACAGGCCCTACGGTGGTTCCCCCTTACTCGGTTCTTAAAACAGAATACAAGATACTACAAAGGAAGAACATACCCTCTCATAGGAACTGCTTGTTTTTTTTTCTCAAGACAGGCAGATCTTGGAGCCAGAGAGCTCCTGATATCACTGAAGCCATATCCCTTTGGATTCACCAGCCCACCAGCAGCATTTCATACCATCCCTACTCAACATGACTGTGCTATACAGTAACACTGGCAAAACATAGCTAAGAATAAATGCCTGAATTTCATTTACATGGCCAAAGACATGGAAGGACAGGGAGCTACAGAGGGCAGCAGGCAGGACAGTGAACAAAGAGCAGCAGTGGCAAAGCAGCACAGAGGAAAGACCGTGGCGTTATGACCAACTGGGACCAAGAGTATAGAAGGGTCAGTCCAGATCTGCTGGGACCTCTTGTATTGGATACAATACTAAGCTCTGAACTCCCAGATCCCTTTCCCAAGTATAATAATCTTGACAGGAATGGTGGTCTAAGTCTTAGGATCTTTTGAAGCATTCTCTAGCAAGTTTCCCTTCTTCCAAATTGGTGCAGGCATTTCTGTACAGTTCCAGAGTTTAGCAGTCCTCCTTTCTATCCCTAAGCTCTGGGAATGTACCACCACTGACTAGGGACTGACCAGCCTTTGTCAACTGCCCATTGAAATGCTCACTCTGCAAACACTACACTCATGTCTCTTGCAAACTTAAGTAACTCCTACTAGGAAAAACAGGTAATATCAGTTTACTCTTATTTCTCATGTCTGGAGGAAAAGTGAACCAGAGGAAAAGCCAAGGACTATGATAGCTCTGACCAAGATTTAGAGGACAAAGCTTTTTTTTTTCTTGGGGAACCATCCTTTATGAAAGAAAGCTACCTCTGCAGCTCAGCAAAATCAAGTATTAACATGCTACACATACATGGCACAATATGAGGAGCAGCTGCTGGTATTGCTTCACCAGCAAGAAAACAGAAGAGGAACCATGGCAGAAATGTCAGCGCTCAACTTGCTAAGGTCTCCCACAATTTCTCTTTCCAGGACTTGGTGTGACCAGACTGGGAAGTCGCAACTTGCCTGAGTGGAGGGTACTCTGACTTAAACCACTTGGTCTGTACCTGGTTAAATACAGGTTTGCTCCTATAAGGAAGCAGCTCAGTTGGTGTCACAGTGGACATTTCTTGGGTGTCTGCTGTTACTCTATTCTGCTGATGAACCCTCCCATGAAGGACGCTTGTGAGAAACCCATACATATGATAATCCCTAAACATAGGTTGCTCATGAAATAGCTAAAGATGAGGCCCTCACCCAAGACTCTCATCTGAGGGGATTTCTCAAGACTCACACCAGGCCCCACTGCAGCAAACAAGCCAGAGAAAGCAGCATTCAGAGAACGGAAGGGTAGAAAAGGGAAAGGATATGATCTCAAATGCAGTACAAGGTTGGTATTTGGTTCTGACATAAAGTAGAGACCGAAGAATGCGTGGTCAGGTCAGGAGCCTCCTTTGGATGGACTCCACAAAGCTCACTGACCAGGTTAACTGCTCTCAAGGAATGAAACAGTAGAGTGTAGGGCTTGTAGCAAACAAGCCAGTTTCAGTCACTCTGTTCCCCCAGGAGAACAACCTTTAGCACCTGAACACTAAGAATGACTCCATTCTCAGAACTTCCCCTCCCCCCAGGAGGTAGGTAAGATTATTTATCCCCATTTGGCAGCTGGGGAGGAAGTGAAAGAGTGAGAGGTCGTAAGACTTGCCTACAGTCTTAGACAGAGCAGAACTCAGACCTCAGACATTTGGGACTCCTGATGAGAGGCCAGGCCTTGGCCAGTCCATCAATAAAAGGAAATGTCAGGATCACACCTGGGAGAAATCTAACCAAGAGAGCTAGGTGGACAATACCCTGAGTTGCCTTCAAGAGTCTAAAGACCGCCCCCATAATCAAACAAACAAGACCACTCACCCACCTGATAGCTGGTGGAGTAGCCTAAATCCTAATACCCAGTAGAATCCCACAGTCCAAGCTGATGCTAAAAGTTGTGAAAAGTTATGACAAAGGGTAGCACATGCAACTAAGACTTAAAATACTCTGCAGAGGAAATCAGAAATGAAATGTACTTCAGGTATTAAAATGTTACTGAGACTATCCCAGAACTTTAGAGCTGGTGGTGGGAGAGGATGGCTTGGAGACAACTGAATGCTAGGAGTGGCAGTGACATAACACAAGAGGGGGACATGCATAAATACCAGGATGGGACTTGCCTAGCCAGGTGCATTCGCCCTGGTCCAGGGCATGGTCCCCTTCTTGTTTCTCCCCCAAGGTATGTGGCAGTAAAAGAGGAGGGCCGTAACTTAAGAGTTCTTAAAAACAAAGATTTTAGCTGATGGGGAAACCACAGACCCCTACATACCACAAACTAGAGGTCTTGGCCAGAGTGGACAAAGCCACTTTTGCAGAAGAGGAAAGGCAGCGCAGCTACACAAGGCCCAGCTCAAGACGCCATGCAGAGGCTAGAGTGGCAGAAGGGTGGGGGCAGTGCAGGCACTTAGGCACAACATAGACAGACAACAGAGGGGTATAGGTGCCTGGGGAAAAGGTCCACTGATTCTTTCCAAAGTCACCATTACCAACTAGAGACTGGAGGAAATCTCAAAGCAGGCCCACATACTGAGTAGGAGGAGCTTTGTTAGGTCAGCTACTTTTCCAGAAGCCCCACCTAGAGCCCAGTCACCTGGCTATAAGGTCTTTCTCCCAAAGTCCCCTGACTGGGTCCCTGGCAAGGCAGAACTCCACGCTCAACTCTGGAAGGGCTTCTCTCTCTCCTGGCCTCCAAGCTGCTAGAAGCCTCACAGGAGGAATGCTGAGAGAGATGGGAAAGGGGTGAAGCTGAGGATCAAGCAGAGCTCTGCAGATGAGGGTACTCCTCTCCCACACACCCAGCCATAGATATCTGTAACAAAAATCACCCTTTAAAGTGCACATCTCTCACAAGAAGGGTTCTGGGTGGGAACCCTCTTATTTCTAACCATGGGGCCTCCTGCCCTCCCACCACAAAAAAGGAAAAAAAAAAAAAAAACTAAAAAACAAAACACTTCAGACAGTTTTACTGCTACTATAAGCTGTGGATCATCATTTTTGGCTCTTTCTTTGCTCCCTCTCTCTGCCACCTGCCCCCAAAGCCTGTACTGTCCCTTGCAGGAGCTAGGGATAGGGAGGAAAGAGCAGGGAGGCCCTGATTTTGGAATGTTTCTTTTCCTATGTGCACCCCCTCCCTTTCTTGCCCCAGGCCTGCTGCACCCTATCACAGCACCCCCTGGGGCTGTGCTGAAAGGGATGCAAGGGGTAATGAGCAACAGATCCTGCCTTGGGAGGCTGCCTTCATGCTTCCCCTTTTCCCCTAAATCTCACTGCCAAGAGAGCCATTCCCTGCTCAGCGTGTGCAAATCCTCTGCCTGCTCACGGTGAGGATCACCTCTGGAGTAAAAGCCCCAGTCCTGGTCTGGGAGAGAGGTTCATTTTCCCGCATTTGAACGCCCTTCGATGGACAGTTTTACCTCTTGTGGAATGAAAGAGGGACGGAGCAGCGCAGCCCGTGCCTCCTCCCCTTGCACACTGTATCTTTGGAAGTTCGGGGCTGGCCAGCAGGTCTGAGCACCAGGCTCAGGCTGGGGGGGCTCTACCACATGGGAGCCCTCTCCTGTGGGCTGGCTCTTCCCCTCACTGTCACACAGGTCTCTGGGTCCCAAGACCATCCTCTCAGGCCTTTCTCGAGAGGGACCCAGCTGGCCTGGGGGAGCACAGCTGGCCTGAGAAACCGAGTTACTGTTCAAGCTCTGTAAACTGATAGAGATGCAGACATCTCCCACCTGTAGTCGATGGCAGGGCAGAGAGAAGAGCTGTGCAGTCCGCCCAGGGCTGCAGGAGGACCAACCCTGGCCATATACAAAGAAGGGGTGCTCGGGGGGCACCTCGATGCTCACTTTGCTCTGCTGCTCACCAACCACGAAATGCAGCATAACAAATCCAGGCCATTGGCTCTCCTGAATGTCCACAACCGTGCTAGAGTCAATCTTCAGCCCCCCACTCACTTCGGCACTGCGCACAAAATCCTGGGTCTGGAGGTCCTCCACCCGCTTCAGCTCCCCTGTAGCCAGCTGGATGATGGCCCCTTTCATGAAATGGGAGGGCAAGTGGGAGGAGGTAATAGGGGGTGGCGTTGGCTCCTTGTCTGGGAAGGTGGCTCTGGTCTGCATGTCCAGACTCGATGCCACCAGGATCTCCGAGCCCACAGGCAGCAGGCCTGGGTCAGTTCCAGTGGGCGCCAGGTTGCCATTGGCTACAACCATTGCTTTGGGTAAAGGTCTATGTTTTACTGGTTCCTGATGGGACTGAGGGTAGAACCCACGGGCCTGGTTCTTCTCTGCCACCTCTGCAGGGTTCCTGGTTGACCCTCGTCCCTCACCCTGATGGTCAGGAGTATGATGGGACAGGTTGAGGGGGCTGGATTCATCTTTCCTCTGAGCTGCCACCACACGATAGTCCTGAGAAGCTAAAGCGCCAACCACCCGCTGGACCTCAAGGTCAGTGTCTGGGGTCCCTCGGTGCGCCAGTGCTGTCACCTCCACCCGTGAAGTCTGAGAACCTGAAAACAACTGTCCATCCACCACACATTCTACCACTGGCACCAGTCCTTGGCCTTCGCCCTTGCCGCTGGGGGAGTCAAGGGCTTCACTTTCCCGCCTTACTAAACTTCGCTCTCGTTGTCTCTGTCCTCCATTGGCAGCAGCTGCTTCCAGAGCAGACTGGCCCTCCTGAGGGGTAAGAACTGGGCTGGCACCTGCTGGGGGGGTTTCATGCAAGGTAAATCCAGCAGGTACCCTGGACATCTGATAGTAAATGGGCATCCGGCCTGGAGCAAGGTCCAGTGGCTGAGTACTTGAGTGATGTGGCAACTGCCCAGGTGGGGAGGTGGCAGGGGGGGCTTTGTTAAATGAATGGGCTGGGGATGAAGGCTGGGGGGGAGGAGTGGCTTCTTCTGCCAGAAGTGAGGCATATGGCACAAAGTGTGGAAGGTGAGAGGTGGCGAGATTGGCAGAAGGAGAAAGGAGGGGACTTGGTAGGAAATTAGGTGGCATAGCATAGGGAAGGCTATAAGGAGACCCGATAAACTGCAGTGAGGTGGATGGGAGCTGAGCATAGTGGATGGGGGGATAGTGGATTCCTGGATGTTGAATCAGTGAAGACGCTACATTAAACGTGGGGGGCAAAGGGCTCATGTTCACCACAGATGGGAGGCCAGTTGGTGAGAAGGTGGCAGGTGGCACAGCCACCTTATAGAGCATGCCATACTGGTCTACTGTCAGACCAGTAATGGCCTCAGATCCATCACCCCCCAGGCTGACTCTGGCTCCAGCCTGGCTCTGCCCGGCCACCACAATCCCTCGGGACCATTCAGAGGCATCACTGGAGGATGTGTGGTTTGTGGAGCAGCTGGTAGTTCGCCCCATATCCTCGCTGGTCACAGGGAGGTCTCGTTTCTTTGGTGGAAGGCATTCCTGACTCCTCTCATGCACAGGTTTCATATTGCTTTGTGGTGTTCCTGGAGCCTGGGAGGGGCTGGCTTGCTCCTTGGGACATCAGAAGGGGCTTCTCTGTGGCTTCCCTGCACCCCTTTCTGCTGTTGGCTGGGGCGCCCACATCTGCTAGGGAACAAATCAGAGGCAAAGAAAAGTAACCCACAGAAACACTTAAAAAGGAAAAAAAAAAAAACAAACCCAAGAACCGAGCCCACGGAGGAAGATGTAACAAAGGTGACTGGTGGAAAGAGGAAGTATAAGAGAAGGGCAGACGGGGAAGCTATCTCCCTGCTCACCAACCTAGGACAAGAGAAACCATCAGGAAAACCACGAAGCACAGAGAGCTGTAAGGATGAGCATTCAATAACACATAAATAACTTGAGGCCTCAACAACCTCAGAGACCACAAGCTCCAGGATTAATCACGCCTTTCATAGAGACCTTGACTCCTCAGCCTTTCCTTCTAAGGGGGCTTTGAACACATGATCTTTGCTGATGGCTTTTTCCTAAATTTCTCCTTTTGCTACCAAAAAGTAATGTGCCATCTTCTTTCCCTGAATGTATGATCTCATCCTTGCTTCCTTTCCCCAGCCTAATTCGGGTTATGATCTCACCTACTCCTATCCCTCCCTCCCCAAGACTGACTAAACTCCCGCACTCCTTTGCCTCTTATCACTCATACCTCTGTAAATCCTGAGACTTACTTGTTGTTTTTTTCCAAATGTTTGTCTCTAAACACAGTTTCAAATATAGTACCTGTTTTTCCCTAAGAAACTGCATTCCAATTTGGGCCCTCTGGGAAGAGAGATTACATTAGCTTCTTCTACAGCTTGTTTCTCCTCCTTCCCAGAGGTGCAACAAAATTCTTCTGACCTCACATAAACTGCCTGTTCTCTAGTCTGGCAAGACTTCTTTTCTTTTCATCAACCACCTTCAATCTCCCTTTTTTGTTCTCTTTTTCTTCCTTTTGCCAGTGGGTCCCTTTCCACTGCAAGTACACTCTAATACCACTTCACCAAATTCTTATTCCATTCTTCTCAATACGCCTGTTTGTTTCTATCTAAGATCTATATGATTCATAAGAAAGCTCTGTCTCCCCTTTCTCTGTGATCTTTCCCCATTATTATTATTATTATTATTACTATTATTATTTTGTCTTTTTGAGACAGGGTCTCACTATGCAGCTCAGGCTGGCCTTCAGCTCACTTTGTAGCCCAGACTGGCAATGGTCCTCTTGCCTCAGCCTCCGGAGTGCTGGGATTATAGGCTGGGATTACAGGCGTGCCCAGCTCACAATTACTTTTGTCCACTGTCAAAAAGTATCTTCTTGGTCTATCTCAATGAATGTGAACTTTGCCACCTATTTTTTTCCAACCAGACTCCAGCTCTATGGATCTGAAAAGAGTTTTCTATATGGCATTCTACTCAGTTTTTCCACTGTTGCATCCTAGATATTTTTCTGCAACCAAGTATCCAACCTATATTACCTGAACTTCTGGTGGTGCTTCCAAGCAGCTGTGGTAAGCGTCCTCCCGGCTGATCTGGGAGTCTAGAAGAAAGAAAAAGGGATAGAGTAAGCAGAAGACTGACCTCTGATCTCCCCCCAGGGGCATCAGGAAAGCTAATTATATAAAGCCATAAGGAAACATTAAAAATCCACAAGAAGCCCCATCCTCTTCTCTAGAGGCAACAATGTATCAATCAGAGTGGGAAGGCAGTTAAAGCAAAAGCTCTACTTTACAAGAAGATCTCTCTGAAAAAAATTCTCCCATGCAGCAGATCTCATGTTTTCCTCAACATCATAGTCTTCATTTTCTACCCTACTTCCTATTAGAAGATGAAACTTCCTGAAGGTAAAAATGTATGTACAATCTGAATTTTTGGTAAATGCAGAAATAAAAATGAAGACTTAGTACTGTTCCCATGTGAACAACAGGAAGCAGGGAATTTCATTCTTATTCAGGGCCTACGACTACAGAGATGTGGAGGCACTTGAGTAAGAAAGGTGGCACTAGAGTAAAAAGAACAATTATTTATGTTTCTGGGGCAGAAAAAGAGGTCAAGGGGGAGTCACTCGTGGGGAAAGCTTATTAACAGTCTTTCAGGGGAAAAAAAAAACTCTTGCGCGCTCGTGTGTGTGCGTAAAAATTTCTGACAACTTCACACCAACTGAACTGGGTGTGGCAGAAAGTGAAAATACCACTTTGATCCTACACAGCTAACAGTGGGGAAACAAAACTACCGCTGTACTATCAATATCTGGACCCACACTTGCCAAAAACGATCATCAAACACTCAAGAAAGTATCCTTAACCTGCGAACACAGAGCAGCCTATACGGATGAGTACGAGAAACCACTGACTGTCGTGTCCGAGTTCCACAGAACACTGCAAGCCCGCCTCCAAACGGAAGGCCAGGGCTGGGGATATAGTTCAGTGGCACAAGAGCCTGCCTGGCAAGCGCAAGGTCCTGAGTTTGATCCCCAGTACCACAAAAACAAAAAACAAACAAACAAAAAAACCCCAAACGGAAGGCCACGTTTATATTAGGCTTGGCATGGCACTGGGATATACGAAGCTGGAAAGATAGGAAAACAAGGGGAAGTAACAAATTTCTAACTCCACAAATTACACAACGGGCACAAGTCAGGCCTCCCTTCTTTGCCAATAACTGTGGTCACGTCCTCACTCTCAGAGTGACACTTGTTTTCTGCAACTAAAATACTGGAGAAAACCTGCCTGTGGGTCACGGAGGGGCCAGCAAACACAAGCTAATCAAAGGACCAGGAGAGGCAAGAGGTCTGCCGGAAGGACAACAGATAGCCAAGTCCGTGCGCCAGGTTGCCACAAGGCAAAAACCATCTCAGAACCTGAAACCTCATTCTCTTAAGGGACTTGCTGAGAATTTCTAAAGGGGAAGACACAGCTGGCGACCTCACCGGCGCTAAGGCGCAGCGGGGGCCATTCTCCAAGGCTGCCAACACAACCCAGAAAGGAGCTGCTCAGCAAGCGTGGGGTCAGGTGGAGAGGGTGAACCCCGCGGGGGACCCAATTCGCGGAGGGTGAGACGCGCGCCCGACAGAACGGGAACCGTGGGAAAGAGCAGAGGTTACGGTTCCCCTGATCCCGAAATCCCTGATGCAACGAGGGTCGGGCCCGAAATAAGAAATTCAGCGTCCAGAGCGTGAGGGTCGGCGTCCAAGCACCCCGGCGGGGACGAGGCCCCGCAGGCGACGCTTCCTTGTTTGGGGGCCCCTTCCCGCTCCGAGGACTCGGACACTCGGGCCCGCGGGGACACAGGCGCGGGGGCAGCGAGGCACCCGGCCTGAAGCCGCCTTCCAGGAGGGAGAGCGCCCAGCGGACGAGGATCTAGGCGCGCCCTTTCTCGCTCTCTCTTTCCACTGCTTCTGGGCCCTGGCTCGGTGGGGCTCTTGGGTCCACTTCCCCCGAAGCTCCGAACCTAGGCCTATTTGGCCTGTTAGGCCGGTCTGGCGGCCACCGCTCCTAGCAACACTCACCGGCCCATCTCACAGCGCTCCCTGGGCTCCTCCCGGTCGTCCTGGAGCCACCGCAACCGCCATCCCCGGCCCTGGAGCCGCCCCACACCCAGCGCCCCCCTCCAGGCCGGGCGCCCGGAGATGGCGTCAAGCACGTCCCGCCCCTGGCGCGAAGAGATTGCGTCACAGATCTAGCCGGAAAGCGAAGCCAAGAAGTACCCTCCGCCCTTTGCGTCCAGCGCCCCCTCTGGTGGGAAAATGAACTCCTCTCCCTTAAACAGGTCCAGTGAATAGGGCTGAACCCAGCTGCTCAATTTAACTTTACATTAACACCTCCATCTTTCCACTCCAGTAAATTTTAGGGGGTTCAAAGCAGTCGTGATGAGTAGACATCAGTGACCCCACCTTGCCTGGACTTCCGGTCCTGATTTTGGAAGCCGGCTGCAAGGAACTTAGGGGAATCTGAAGAGTAAGGAGATCCTTCGTAGGGACAGAGTCGTGATAGTAGCTCTATAAAAGCTGAGAAATAGCCAGGCATGGTGATGCTTGCCTGTAATCTTAGCACTTGGGAGGCTGAGACAGGAGAATGACTGCTAGTTCGAGACCAGCCTGTGTTACAAAGTGAGCTTGAGGCCAGCCTGAACTGCATAGCGAGACCATGTCTAAAAAAAGACCAGAAAAAAAAAAAACCTTGAGAAATAAACCAGGTATGGTAGCACAAACCTATAATCTCAGTACTTGGGAGGCTGAGACATGAGGCTCTGAGTTCAAGGTCAGCCTGGGCTGTATACCCAGTTCCGGGGGGCCAGCCTGAGCTACAGAGTGAGACTCTTGCCTCAACAAGCTAACCAAGTCAGGCGTGGTGGCGCACTCTCAATCCCAGCACTCAGAAGGCTGCGGCAGGAGAATCACCAGGAGCTCAAGGCCAGCTTGGGCTGTATAGTGAATTCAAGAATAGTCCAAAATACATAGTGAGACCCTGTCTCAAAAAAAAAAAAAAAATCGATGAACAAATAAAAAAATGTTGAAAAATGACCCAGAGGCAGATAAGAAGGCAGTGGACCCACGATCTAGGGAAAGGTGAAGCAAGTTAGTAGGAGTCCTGAAAGTTTGTGGAGAATGAGGGAATCTAGTGCAGTGAAAAGCAGCATGATATAATGGGAAGAGGGCTTAGAAATTTTAGGTGACCCGCTTGTTCCAAATTAACGAGTTGACTTCATAGTAAAATGAATATCTAAGTAAAAATGAAAAAATGAGCACCAGAGTTTGTGTTTGGATTACAGTTATACATTATATCTATATCTATATCTACATCTACATCTACATCTATATCTATACCTATATCTATACACATTCTCACTATGTAGTTCAGGCTGGTCTTGAACTCATTATGGAGCCCAGGCTGGGTTTGAACTCAAAGTGATCCTCCTCCCTCAGCCTCCTGAGTGCTGGGAGTACAGGTGTGCACCACCACTCCCAGCTGTATTTGAGCACTTGGGAGGCTGAGGCAGGAGGATCACGGCAAATTGGAGGTCAGCCTGAACAACTAGGTAGTGAGACCCTGTCTCAAAAAAAAAAAAAAAAAAAAAAAGAAATACAAAGCACCACATTAACATGCACAAGACCCAAGGTTTGACCCCCAGTACTGCAGAAGGAAAAAATTAAAATATATACATAGTACCTAATCTGTAAGATTTACTCTAGGGAATTGTTTTATTTTGTTGAGACAGGGTCTCATTGTGTAGCGCAGACAGGCCTCAAACTCATGGCCATCCTCAAACTTCAGCCTCACAAGTGCTGGGATTGCAGGCATGTGCCACCGTGCCTGGTCCCTCTCTAGGCAATTCTTAGTCCTCAATTTTGATATTTTCTCCCCTGGATGGGCACAAAGGATCATCACACTATGGAACACCATCACCAACCTCTCCCGTACCCACATACCACCACTGGGCAAAACATGGCTTCTGTTACCTAAATCCGCAGAGGGCTTTGCTTTGTGATTATTAACAGTATTCCTAACAGCCTCCTTCTCACTCAGTCTGGCCAAGAAGGAAGTCCTGTGATCACTTGGTGAATCTATCTTGGCTCTAACTGATATCCCGGTTTCCACTTCATTGCTTAGCTCACTAAACTAGTATTAAAACTGCCAAGATAGAAACCCTCCCATCATCCAGGTGTACTCAAGGATATCCATTTTCTCCCAGACAAAGATATATACTCAGCTGGTTTTTCATACAAAGTTGATAGAGCAGACATAAGTAGATGCAAGCAAAAAAAAAGGTTTTGGCTGCCACCCAGTAACACAGTGATGTCAGGCCAAGGCGTGTCTGCTTAAAAAAAAAAAAAAAAAGAGATGTTCTGATTGGTGAAACATGAGGGATTTCCGGGTTTAGTGCTGCAGTCCCCAAAAGGTGGGTCTTATCTCCACTGTATCCTATTTCACAACTCTCCCAGCAATCCTCATTTTTTGGGTGGTACATTTATTTTTTTGAGACAGGGTCCCGCTCTGTAGTCCAGGCTGGCTTGGAACTCACCACAGTCCTCCTGCTTCAGCCTCTTGAGTTCTGGGATTACAGGTGTGCGGCACCACGCCCGGCTTGGCAGTGTATCTTGATGGTAGGAAATTCCATAGTAACAGTTTAACAGGAATATTAGTGATAAGTAAACTAGTATGATTTTATTTCTTACTAACATGGTTTTAGATTGATGACACTAAAATAACCAAGCTACTTCATGTTTCAAAAAATCTGTATTATTCTCTGGAATCTAGATGATCCCAGATATGTAAGTTATTCATATTATTTACATTAAGTTAATCCACGGTACTATACAGATCACTGGTCCAAGTTATTGAGTGACTTTTCACAAAGATTTCAAACTGGGAGATTTTCTTTACAGATTCTTTACTTCTATTAATTTTATTCTTTTCTATGCTTCCTATTAGCTATCTGTTTTCGATCACTCCCATCTGGAAAACCTTCGTTGGAATCCCCTGAGGTTCTTATTTCCACTGTGTTTTAAGAATTGATGACGAAAAGGAGGATTTATAAAGATATTTGAACATTTGGAGTCTGAAAAATTGAACTTCCATCTGTTTTGTTCTCTTCCTATTCTCTAGTACTCCATTCCTTTATTGTGTTTAGATTGAACTTCTGTGAATGGAGGGCTTGAGCTACTCCGGTGAATGGAAAACAACAGCACAACCTTGTCGTGCAGCTTATTTCTCTCCCTAAATGGGCAGGAATTTCAAACCAGCTCCCTGCGATGCGTAGGTCCTCACTGGTAGTTTCTCAAGATCCCATAGTATAGGTCAGAGAAGCAGACAGCTATCCCTCCTCTGTCTGACATTACTTGACAATGATTTTAGAGAAAGGCACTAGTAATTTGGGAAAACATGTGTCATAAAAAGAGGAATAAGTGGCTTAAGGTGACCTTATTTATGTTGGCACATCTTCCTGCTTGTATGCTTCCGCATGTAAAGTTCATTTTAGCCAGGTATGGTGGCGCATGCCTGTAATCCCAGCACTTCGGAGGCTGAGGCAGGAGGATCATTGCGAGTTTGAGACCAGCCTGGGCCACAAAGTGAGCTTAAGGCAGCCTGAACTGCATAGTGAGACCCTGTCTCAAAAAGACAAAAAAAAAAGTACAGTTCATTTTAGGAAAGAACTTTATCATTGTTTTTTGCGGATTAAATCAAGGGGTTGTGAATACTCGGTAAGTAGTCTACCACTGTGCTATATCCCCAGCCCCTTTGTAAATTTTTTAATTTTTGAGATAGGGTCTTGTCAAGTTGCCCAGGCTAGCCTCAAATTTGTGATCTTCCTGCCTCAGGTTCCTGCGTAGCTAAGATTACAGGCACGTAACACTGTGCCTGACTATGGAACTTTTATCTTTGGCTCCCAAAGGCAGAAATAAGGACCAATGCCAAGCACATATTAACATTATAGAAATATTTAGTGGGTTTTGCTTTCCTTAAAATGCATTGGTGCCTGGTATTAATTATTTTTCAAACGTGTTTCTCAATGTACAAACGTAGAAGTGCGCAGTTTTCAAGCTTCTGTCATACCTACTTTTCTGAATAATTCTGTGCCCTCATTTCCACATGCCCCTAATGTTATGTGACCTCTCCAGGTTCCAAAGAGGATTTCTCTTTCAAATTCATTAATATTTTATCGAGAAGGAGGTCTTATAATTCCCCCCTAGGTTACAAGTATGTCCCTTGGGGATGGGGAATCTCCCTTTGTTCTACTTCCTCAGATGATTGCCAAAGACTTTTATTGTTTCAGGAACTTCCTGCACGATTCCAAAAGGTTCCAGACTGAGGATTAGGATAAACTAAAGGAAACCTAACCTTTGTTAGGTTAACCTAATAACCCCATAACCTACCCTAAACCGAACCTAAATTACAAGTGTCCTATCTAGGGAACTGGTCCACAGAGAAGCAAGTACTTAAGAATTGCTTACACCAGGCGTGTTCAGTGAATGAAGCAAGTGTGGGAAAGCTGGTGTCTTGGTTACTTTTTTCTTTTTTTTTTTTTTTTTTGTTTTTGTTTTTCTCTGGTACCGGGAACCGAACTCACGACCTTGCGCTTGCCAGGCAGGCGCTTTTTGCCGCTGAGCTAAATACCCAGCCCTTGGTTACTTTTTTCTCGCTGCTGGGACAAAATACCTGACGCCCAAAATGAAGGAAGGAAAGGTTTATTTCGCTTACAGTTCGTGGAGGTTTCAGCCCACACTTGGCAGATTATAAGGCAGAGTGGCACATGGCAGAGGGCTACAGCTCCTGAAGCAGAACCCAGCAAAAGCCACTAGCACATATCAGGGCGGAATGGGGGAGGAATGGCCTCAAGCACCCTTTTTCTCTCCCTTACGTATGTAAACTATCCACCCCAGGGTGGGTGTAGCTCTCACACCCATCAGGCTCGAAAAGCCTGCCCCATGGGCCGCTTGAGGCTTTAGGGGGATGCACAGATTCAACCCATAACAGCTGGAGTCCCTCGAAATACTTACACCTTTCTCTTTCCCTGGGACCCTTGCTCAGCAAAGTGTTTGTGAGTTCCTGCATCTTGTGATGAAACGATGTTCAGCTCTGCCTTTTAAAGCTCATCTCACTGGGCATGGCAGCGCACACCTGTAATCCCAGCACTCAGGAGGCTGAGGCAAGAAGATTGCTGC